ATTCGGACAGTTCTCTCAGCTTAGCCATGATATCCTCCGTCACCCAGGAAGGTAACGTGAAATTGTGGGTTCTCTGTAACGAAGGGAGAAAAGGCCCGTGTGTTTTTAGTCCCTGGTTGTCCTCTTGGTTGACGCAAAGAATGATCTCATTGCATTTTAAGTGAACGTGCACGCGCCAAGCTAGAGTCCCCCCCAGCAAATGTCATACAAGACAGTTCCAGGCCAATGGGTTAGGATTTTCACCTGAGGCTGTTAGCATTTGCTTGATCCCTGCTCAGCCGGCTTTGCTTCCAGCCTCACTCCCTGGCCTCCTCACCTGTTTTGCTTTTAGGAAGATGTTGACCCTTTGGTCTCAAATAGTGGATGGCTTGAGGGGAACACCTTCTCACAGGTGGCCGTGTTTCTTTTGTGAGCCATTTTGTTATTTGATGGAATGGTGATTCACAGAAATAGCTTTGATTCCATGTTCAGAGATGACTGTATGACAGTGGCCTTGAGTCTCTATTAATGTCTGGTGTACGAGTATGCCTGGCCTGTTTGGTTTAGAGCAATTTGGGATTTGCTCCAGGTCTTTTTTTTTTTTCCTATCGCATCTGGGAGCTCTCACCGCATCTCTGATCAGAATGATCAGCAGGGGAAGTAGTTCACACCCCGTTCTTCTGGTCTCAAAGCAGAGGCTCCGGTTTGCATGGCTCTTCCTCTTGGGGATTCGTTTCCTCTTTGAGCCTTTGATTTCTTGCAGGATCTTTTGGTCTCTCCGAGTAGAGTCCAGTCGTTGTATCTCAGATGGCTGCTCTCAAGATGTTAAGACCCCAAACTCCACTCACCAAACTAGGATGTAGAACATTCTCTTTGGGAAAACGAGGTTATGTTCATGGACTAAGTTGGCTCCCTCAATCTCCTTATTGATTTTTTCCCTTCTCTTCCATCCCCAAAGAGCTCCAGGGTCTAGCGGTCCTCGTCATGAGCTTTCTTTCCTTCTGTCTAGGAAGACTTTATATTATGATAAGCAGTGATCCTGATTCCTCGCTGCTGGTGTGATTGGATCGGATTCATCGTTTGCAGAGTCCACGTGCGGATCAGTAAGAACGGACCTCACTCCTTGGTTCATAATCGTTAGAAACCGTTCATAAACCTGGGTGGGGAGTCAAACCTGCAAAGATGACATTTGCCAAGGTCCATCAGATGCTCTGACACGCTGAATGAGCTGCTTGAGGGGACAGCTGAGGAGAGGCCGTGGGATTCCGCTGCCCACAACCCTGTCTCTCCCACCGCCTTCAGCTTCCGGTTCAGACTTCCGGGGGGAACTTCCGGCCTTCCGTCCACAAGACACTTGAATATTTGCTAAGTGGATGAAAAACGCATACCGCAGGGCAGGTGGGGACTTGGTGCCAATCTTTATTGCCGGCATTGGAGAGTCGATTAGGATTCCCCCGGTCTCCAATGTCAAGCTGAGAGACGGAGAGTTCTTGAAAGAGGAGACCGCTATGAAGTGATCTCCCGAGGGAGTGGGAGAGGTGGGGGTGGGGCTGTGAAAGACAAGGAAACCAAAGCCTCACGGCCAGTGAGGGAACAGCTCAGCTCAACCTTAACCTTGCGTCCATTTATCACAATGTTACCCCTGGGTCTAGTGGTGAGGAGGTTGGGCTTCTTTACAATGAGCTGTCATCCCTCCGGGAGGCTGCAGTCCCTGGTCTTCGTCAGCAAGGGCTTCAAGTCCTCTTCACTTCCAGCGAGCAAGGCTGTGCCGTCTGATAACGCTGCTTGTTCATAAGCCCGCCTTCAATCTCCCTTCCGACATTCTTCTTTACATAATCCGGCTTCTCGGACGATTTGCTCGGCATGCAGATTGAATAAGTCTGGTGAGGCGAAGCGACGCTGGTGCACACCTCTCCTGATTGTAAGCCATGCAGTACTCCCTTGTGCTGTTACCGCAACTGCCTCTTGATCAGGTTCTGCATGAGCCCAATGCAGCATTCGGGAATTCCCCTTCCTCTCAAGGCTATCCACAGTTTGCTATGACCCACACCATCGAATGCCTTTGCAGAGTCAAGAAAACACAAGTCAACATCTTTTGGGTATTCTTTTATTCAGCCAAGATCCGTCTGACATCAGCAATGATGTCCCTTGTTCCACATCCTCTTCTGAATCCGGCCTGCACCTCTGGCTGCTCCCTGTCAATGGACAGATGCAGCCGGATTGGATGAACTTCACCAAAATTTTACTTGTATGGGATGTAATGATATGGTTCTATAATGTGTGGGTTGAGTTGGGTCACCTTTCATTGGAGTGGATACAAATGTGGTTCTTTTCCAGTCACTTGGCCAAGTCACTGTCTTCCAGATTTTCTGGTAGAGATGAGGGCAAGCATCCAGTGCCTCATCTGGTTTGCTGAGACATGTCACTAGGTGTCCCATCAATCCCTGGAAACTTATGTTTGGCTGATGCTTTCCCTGCAGCGCAAACTTCTTTCAGTACCATTGGCTCTTGCTCACACCATACTGCATGACATGGTTGAACGACAGCTAGTTCTTGTTGGCACTGTGACTGCGTATTCTTTCTAGTTGTTAGTGAAATAAAATTGTGAAACGAAATGCTTCCCCACACATTTGCGATGAGCTCAACATCAGAGGATGTGGTCATAATTTGGGCAGACAAATGTGGGCAGTCAGAATTCAATCCTAGGATTTAATGAGCTAGCTGTAAACTGGGAGCCCTGGTGGTGCTGTGGGTTAGGCCCTGGGCTGCTACTTGAAATGTCAGTGGTTCAAACCCACCAGCAGCTCCATACATGAAAGATGAGGCTGTCTGCTCCCATAAGATCTACAGTCTCAGAAACCCAAAGGGGTGGTTCTTTTCTGTCCTGTAGGATCACTATGCGAATCAGCTCTGTAGCAAAGAGCTTTTTTAAAGAAAAAAATTCATCTGTCCCAAACAACTTGCTGGTGGGTTAGACTGGAAACTAGAACCGAGAGTTCTCCTTTTGGCCAGAAGGTGGAGCCTGGTGAACAGAAACCACCATTTAAGCTTGAAACAAAGGAACCAAGAAGGAGCTCCTCTTGCTGCCAACACTTGATATGCACAGCCCAGCAAGGATGAGCATCTTTCCCATAAGCTCGTTCCACTAGCAGGGCTTACAGCTGCTATGATAATTTATATTTCCATAAATTAAGTGACTGTTCTTTTTTTTCCCTTCTATATTACGTTGCCGCCCACCCCCCTTTTAAAATGACAAATCAAGACACCAGTCCAGTGTTCCCGTGTGACTGAAAAATAAGTGGTAAGGCATCAAAGAAAAATACATTTCTATACAGCGAAAACCCAAATCCTGGAGAGACAAGACAAGTCAGGCTTTCAAAGTTAACCTAAAAGCACCTTGAATTACGTTTCCATGTCAAAGGAAAGATAAGCAATCGATCTCAAAAAGAAAGCAAGAACATGCATTTATCTGCTTTAAAATAGACATAGGTCATGAAGTCAGACAGCACATTACCCTCCGATACTCTTACTCACCTCACAAAACAGGGGGTCGTACACTCGACTCCAAATCCCAAAAAGGTCCTGTCCTTGGTAGCCTGAAAATGTTGGCAACATTTCTATAAAATCCTGAAACACGCAGAGGGGAAAGATTGTGTTACATGGGGGGTTTTCTACTTCAACACTATTGATTATTGCTGTTTTTTGGGGGGTGGGGTGCTGCTAGGTAATTCTTTGCTGCAGCAGGGGCTGTCCTGTGCAGGTGAGGGCGTCTAACGGCATTGCATTCCTGGCCTCAACCAGTAGGTGGCAGTATCAAGATGCCAGGTGTGACCACCAGTGTGTTCTCCAGCTATTACCAAATGTCCCCTTGGGGGCAAACTTATCCCTGCTGGGAGCACTGTTTTTGTGGAAAAGTGCACTTATAATATTGACGGTGATCATGCCAACCCAAAGAATTGTACACCCCCCGATGGATCCTTTCTCATTATTACATTAAAAATGCTGAGCGATGCTGGCTCCCTGCCCCGCGTTCCTTCCTGGTTTGTCCTGGCATCAGCAGGAGCACACGGCTTTTGGGGAGCCGGTGCAGGAGCACTCACAACCTCAATGAGCGCCTGAGGTCATCCGGATGGCAAGTTTCCACCCACTATAACACCCATAGAGACAGGATCTGGTTACCTGGGCTACACATGTACCACCTGGAGGAGAACAAAAACACCCTGCTAGGTGCTGTGTTGTTCTTGGACTCCCATAGTGTGGCCCAAGGTTCACCCATCTGACTCAGCCGTTCCTCACAGCCATTGCGAGGGCTTCATCTCTCACATGTGGGACATGCTCCCTGGGGGCACCTACCTCTAGCCAAAGTGACCGCCTGGTGCTGAAAGGCGTTGAAAGTGGAAGCACCTCTTGTGAGGGCAAGTTGATCATATTTCAAGCAGACCTGGAATTTCTACTTCTAGGCTATCAGCCTAGAGATATTCTGGTGAAGGATTTGACTGCACCAGGCTATTCAGCACAACCTCTTGGTAAAAAACAAGAGGCTGGAAATGACCCACCTACCCATCCAGAGGGGCTGATCATTTTGGTACATCTATAAACTCTAGGACTGTCCAATTAGAAAAGGAAAGGACGAGAAGGCTTTTTAAAGTAAATAGTTCTAGCAGTTGCCTAGGGGGTCATTGAGAGACTTTCCGTTGTATTCCTTGCTAATCCCCACCCCCACCCCGTGCCCCCGTGATTTTTAATGGTATAGGACTAATTGTCGACAGTTCAAATTCACCAGCTGTTCCCAGGGAAAAGACGAGGCTACTGCTCCTGCAAATGTACAGGCCGGTAAACCCGATACACGTTGTTTGGTTTGGAGTTGGCCATGGGATCGGGTTGTTTCTGTATCCAGGCAGTTGTGTCCGCCCTCAGCCTCGCTGCCAACACACACACACACACACACACACACACACACTCAAGCAAAAGCCACTGCCATCCAAGTGGATTCCAATTCATAGTGACCCTCTACAGGGCTTCTGAGATGACAACTCTGTCTCAGAGCACACAGCCTCATCGTTCTCAGCCTCAGCAAGGCAGGTGATTTTAGACTTGCTCCTCTACTGATCCAGCCACACTAGCCTGCCTCTTCTCGGGGACATGGATATAAGATTGCAAAGGAACTGGTTTGTGGCCAGGCCTGTCCCAATGACGGACCTTTGTCAGATAGCCTAACCCGTTCCTGTAATGGCCACGCACTTTGGAGAAGCTGGGCCATCACCCTTCGTGTTCAAGTCTGCCAGAGAAACAAACACTGTTCTTTCACCTTATAGGGACGCAGCCTCTTTTGGAATTCCTCTGTTTTCAACGTCTCATCTTCAAGTTCTTTAAAACGAGGGCAGTGCTTGAAAGGCAGATACAGCAACTAAAGGCAAAAGCAAAAAGACAAAGATCTCGGTTAGTCAGAAGTGCTTTGCTAAAGAAACGTAGCCCAGTTTAGACTTTGATCCAGTCCAAATGGACAGATGGGATTTGAGCTAAAAGGGGAATTCTGGAACTGGGAGAGAAGACAAAGGGTTGTTTTGCAAGCCTTCCAGGCCCGTCCCTGCTGCAGCAGCTGGTGCACCCACTCAGAGGCCAGTCATTTGAGTCTCCCTGGAAGAGTCATTGAGTCATGGTGGAAGAGAGGCCTGGCAGTCTATTCCAGAAAAAGTAGTCACTGTGAACCCCAAGGAGCGAGCAGTTCCACTCGGACACACATGTGGTGGCCACCAGTTAAGAGTCGATTGAATGGCAACAGTTTTGGTTTGTTTTAAGATCTTAAAATAGTAAGACTTTCAGCTCTTTCCGGTGAACTTTACTGCACACCACCAGGCTGTTGGTAAATATTCAGAGTGCCTAGATGTCTATGTGAAATGGTAAGCGTTCATTTTGCTAACACCCCACCCCCTTCCATGTCTAGCTCTAGCTGTCCATAGGCACACAGAAGTTCATGGAGAGAGGTCAACTAGAGATCCAGAAAGAAGGTTAGAGGTCAGTGAGCCCACCCCACCGCAGACTCCTTTTGCTAAGGGCACCCGTGCATAGTCTGAGAACTAAGTGGCCATCCTAAAAGTGGGGTTTTCCATCTGACCAGCTTTAGTCATGGTAACTGTAACCTACAGGTCAGTGGAGCCAAGTTTATTCTATGGCCTTTCCTTTCCATCCATTTCCAGCCCTGTGCTGGAGATCACTACGTGGCTTGAAGTGGATCTCAGAGCCTTTCAAAGCAGAGAGCCCTGGCTAGCCTGCCTTTCAAAATGGGCTGTCTCGGGCAGAGTAAGAAGGAGTCCTGGTGGCCTAGTGGGTTATGGGCTGGCCTGCTATCCTAAAGGTTGGTGCTTCAAAATCAGGAGCCTCTCCAGGGAGAAAGAAGAGTGCAGTCTGGGGAGTTCTAGTCTCTCCTGAGGGGCCACGCTGAGTCAGAATGGAGTCTACCGCAGTCGGTGTGGTTTTGCTTTTTGGTCAACACGGGAGTATGAGGCATGGGAAGAGCAGGGTCTGAGGGGCCACTTAGAAGGCGGTGGCACAGACAGTGCAGGGGTGCAGAGAGGCTTTAGTGACACCATCGTCCCCGGGAGTGAGAAGAATTTCACTTCTCCGCGAACTTCATCCCGGTCACAGAATCGGCCACGCAGAAACTGCATTTCCTCCACAACGCGAAGTGGAATTCATCATTTGTTACATTGCAACCGTGATACGAAGGAGCTTTGGAAGGTCCCGAGAGCACAATTGAAGTAGTGTCCACTGAGTACATATCTGTAGTGTGAAAGGAAGTGCTGTCCATCAGGGGGGATACTTCCCTCTTCCCCCCCAAAAAAGCTCACCAAGGATGAGTGGGGAGGTTGGCACTGGAGGCTCACTGAGTAGAAAGCATGGTCTTGGAGTCCCCGTGTGATGGTCTCCCAAGGGACTTGCAGGACACTGATTTCCTCATCTGTTTGCTCGTTTGTTTTGTTTAATCGTTATATGAGGGGCTCTTACTACAGTCCATCGATTGTATCAAGCATATTTGTACATATGTTGCCATCATCATTTTCTTAACATTTACTTTCCATTTGTCTTGGTATCAGCTCCTCTTCCCTGCACCTCCCCCCTTGTGACCCCTTGATAGATTTAAAATTATTATTGTCTTCATATCTTACACCGACCGCTCTCACCCTTCACCCGTGTTTCTGTTGTTCTGGTGGGGGGGCGGGCGGGTATTATGCATCAACCATTGTGATCAGTTCCCCCTCTTTCTCCCTATAAAATAAGAGCCATATCTCCAATAGTAGGGCCTTCCATACTGTATGCTATTCGATCCCCAATTTTGAATGTACATTAAAAACCACGAATGTACCCAGGGAGACATTTTGAAAAAAAAAAAAAGAATTCCACAGTCCTCAGGGACTGAGTAGAAGTGGGAAAGGAGAGGGTGGGTGAAGGACTTAGGTGACCAGATTTAAAGTGTGTGTGTGGGGGGGGCAGGGAAGGGGGGTTGAGGGGGAGGGGTTCTTGACTGAAAATTTGGTCTATATGGACCAAATAGACCATTCCCTAGCTTGTCGTGCATTCTTTCCAAAAATCGGGACTTTTTTAAAACGCCAAAAAATCGGGACTGTCCCACCAAAAGCAGGGCGTCTGGTCACCTTAACTGCACGCGTTTTTTGGCCTAGACCAGGGAATACCAGATGGAGCCAACGACAGAGGGGGCAGGCTGATCAGCCAGGTCAGCAGGTAGGCCCTGCACTCAGCCTGGGCTAGCACAAGAACCCTGGCCCCACAACCTGCCAGGGGGGTGATCTTGGCCTAGATGTCTGGTCACTCTGAGCCTCAGTTTCCTCACCTGGAAAACCAGAATGGTAATCAGGCTAGCTATCTTAGGAGAGGTTTGCGATGATCACACGGTAGGTGTCGTTAGAACGGTCAGCAGTTTGAAACCACCAGCCGCCGACCCACGGGAGACCGATGAGGCTCTTTGCTCCCTTAAACAGTTACAGACTCAGAAACCCACAGGCGCGGGTTCTACACCCTACTGGGCTGCTTGGAGTCAGAACTGACATGATGGCAGTGAGTTTGTTTTTGTAAAAAACAAAAGTTCATCAGATAAAGGACAGGAACTTGCCCTTCTAGTTCTATTAGCCAAGCATTGCTCCACGAAGGAGCTTCGGGCCGTCAGCCCAGCTCTGAGACTACCCTGCGGTTGATTGGATGTGGGAAGACAATTAACCAAGGTTAAAGAATACTTTTCCTACACCTGAGTGAGGGAGGGGCCGAGCATCTTGTCTGGGAGCCCCTCTCCCTGTTCCTGCTCGGCTGGGTTTTCCTCCCCTCTCAGAGTTCCTGTAGCTCTCTCAGGCAATGTAATTCTTGGCTTTTGGGATGAAGGGTTAAATCGCTAGGTGGGTGGACCTTGGCTAAATCCGGTCCTCTTCTTCGGTCTGTATCCCTGAAGAAAAGGCGGTGGCTAAGTGATGTTTTCGTTGTTTGTTTTGCTCTTAGGGGAAACAAACAAACAAACCACAACCTCCTAGGAACACAGATGATCTTAAAACATGATTTTGGATTCTGTGAAAGCCGGAGGCACAACCTACATGGTCTTGCCTTTGGGGGGGGGGACCCAGCCGAAGAGTTTATTGGACTAGATTTGCCCATCATGAACGGGACAGAGGAGGGTTGCTTCTCCTACGCATTCAGAATAAATGCCTCCGCCCCCAAAGGCTGCCATGACGTCACATTTCTGGGCGCACTGGGAAGGCGAAGAGGACAGAGACCTGTTCTGGGGTGGAGGTCACGGAGCAAGAGCCAGGCCCAGTAGCCAGGTTCTCATCCCGAGAGCGGTGAGACGGTCACGGTTATGTCGGGACTACAGGAGAATTAAGACGAATGCCTTGTCCCAAACTAATTAATAGCATTAAATTCCACACCTGAGGGGGTAAATTATGTATTCCTCTTTCAAAAGCGACAACCTCCTCTCACGAGGCTGCGGCGCTCATAGCCCCACTCTGTGTACGTAAAGCTGAGCTTTTCTCTCAAGCAGCCTCCCCTCACCCACTGAGCTCATGTTCCTGGATCGCCAACTTGGCTGCCCACTGCAATCGCCTTGGGAGATTTAAGAACAGAAGCCGGGTCCCACGCTCACCTATTCTGATTTGTTATGGACAGTGCTCAGGGATTCGGGAGTTTCAAACATCTCCCCAGCAGAGTCTAAAAGGCAGTGTGGCGGATGGGGGAATAAAATTGGTCTGGTGTGAGACAGATCTGGTTCTCATACCTATGGGCCACCTATTTGACTTTGATTTTGTTGATGACCTATCTGACTTTGATCACCTATCTGACTTTGATCACCTGTTTGACTTTGATGATCACCTGTTTGACTTTGGCCCATTTTTGTTGTTGTTTCCCTCCCCTCCTACCCCCATCCCTTGGCCCTTGACCACAGGGCTCCGGTGGGACTGTGGATTCGCCATTGGACTACTAATGGAAAAGTCTGTACTGCAAACCTACCAGCTGCTCCGTGAGGAACAGGTGAGGCTGTTTGCTCCCAGAAGCCCTAAAGAAGCGGGCCCACTATGTGCTGGAGTGGACGTGATAGAGGCGAGTGTGGTTTTGTGGAGTTTTTGTTTGTTTGTTTTTACCCCTTATTTGGGAGCCCTGGTGGTGCTCACTGGCTAGAGCACTCAGCTGCTAACCTGAGGGTCCGAGGTTCGGATTTTTCAGCCTCTCCCTGGGAGAAAGAAGAGACGGAGCAGGGCTACTCGGTCCAGCAGGGGCCCTGTGAGTTGGAATCAACTCAGCTGCGGTGGGTTTCGGGCCCTGAGGCCAGCGGTAATAAATGAGAACAGAACTGTTGTTCATTCGAGGCTGGTCAATCAGATGGCACATGGAGTGCCCGCGTATCTTCCATTTCTCGTTCTCTAGCTAGGCATGCTGGGAGGAGGGGTCTTCCTGGGAGGGGCTGCATAGGAGGTGGAACGAGACTCTCATGTATTCTTCAGCAGGAAGAAGCTCTTGGGAATAAAAAGCCTGGGACATTGAAAGGAGAGCATTAGGAAACGTGTGTGTGCGTGTGTGTATGCGCGTGCACGTGGGTGCATGTGTGTGGGTGTGTGAATGGAGAAGAACCAATTGCTGTGTCCAAGTGTCCAAAGAGGAATTCGGTCCCTCCTGTCTCTTGTGTAGGCTCTTTCATAGCGTTTGTTGGCCTTTGCAAGGGAACTTTAGGAAACATGACTGCTATATGGTCTGAGGGGTGTCCAGAGCCCTGATCCACTGGTTACCCAGCGGCCCTCCCTCCCTCTTCCAGGCCTGTGTGGAACTCTGACTTTCCCAATATACTGACCTTGTCTTCTGAGACGGGCACCGTGTGCACTGGGATGGGCTGCCAGGGGAGGTTGGGATTCCAGATGCTGATGCCTTCCGGGGGAAACAGAGCTGCAAGGTTGGCCATAGCGCTCATCAAAGTCCGGTCGACATCCGTGCTCTGGACATAAACCTAGAAGGGAAAAATCACAGGAGAAGTCACCTGAGTGGGTGTGTGGCTTGTCCCACAAGGAGCGGATGGGGGATTGTGAAAGGGCAGGTCGGCCAGAGTAGACTGTTGGTAGACATTGTGGGAGCTTCTTGGATCATGCTATTAATTTGTTACAAAAGAGGAGATTGAATACAAAAGAGGCTCAGGCCAATATCTGCTTTGACACGAGGCTAATTAGGTGGTGGCTACTTGTCAAGTAGAAATAGTTCTCCCAGGTTGTCATCACGTTCTGAACTTACTTATCTTTCTAAGTGTGTTAGGGCCCAAACAATCTCGTGAAGGGTATATTTGTAAACAAGCCTTCTGCTTGGTAACAGTTCCTTGGAAAACAGGCAAACATTTCCCCAGAGGCAGCATTACGTTCAATTCTTCTTTAAAAATCATTTTAATGGGAGCTCGTACAACTCTTATCACAATCCATCCATCCATCCGTGTGTCAAGCACGTCTGTACACACGTCGCCATCATCATCATTCTCAAAACATTTTCTTTCTACTTGAGCCCTTGGTCTCAGCTCATTTCCCCCCTCCATCTCCCTCCCTTAGGAGCCCTTGATAATTTATAAATTATTATTCTTTCATGTCTTACACCGACTGCTGTCTCCCGTCATGCACTTTTCTGTTGTTTGTCCCCCTGGGGGATGAACATAATTCATGGATCATTGCGATTAGTTTCCCCTTTGTCCTCCACCTTCCCCTTATCCTCCTGGTATCACCGCTCTCATTATTGGTCCTGAGGGGGTTTATCTGTCCTGGATTCTCTGTGTTTTGAGCTCTTATCTGTACCAGTACACATGCTCTGATCTAGCCAGATTTGTAAGGTAGACTTGGGGTCATGATAGGGGTGGGGTTGGGGGGACCATTAAAGAGCTAGAGGACAGTTGTGTGTTTTGTCTGTACTGTACTGCACCCTGACTGGCTTGTCTCTTCCTTGTGACCTGTAAGGGGATGTCCAAATCTCTACAGATGGGCTTTGGGTCTCCGCTCTGCCCTCCCCCTGCGTGCAATTCTCTGAAGGGTCACCGTTCCCACGCTTCAACTTGCCTGTTCGCGCTTGTAAGACTCATTCAAGAATGTTTCATATCTTCTTCGCAAATATTCTCCAAGCTTGTAATGCTGCTCCATCCCCACCTATGGGCGTGGGGAGAAGCAGAAGTTCATGAAGGTGGGTTCAACGCGGCCACAGGCATGTCGCTCATCTCTCCTCCCTGCACGTGAAGAATAAATAACTCCTGCTTTCAAACACCCCCCCACCCCACCCAATAACAGCGTGCATTTAAAATGAAAACAAGAGAAAGGCAGTCAACGTGCAGGCTCTCCCTGAGGATACTCATGTGCCTCCATCGGCACTGAGCCTCATCTTGCGCCCAAGTCCACTCTCACTGAGTTCATTCTGACTCGGGAAGAGTAGAGCTGACTCCTTAGGGTTTTTGAGACTTGACATCTGTTAGGGGAGCAGATACCCTCTTCCTTCCCCCCCTGAGATCGGCTGGTGGATTTGAACCATCAACCTCCTGGTCAGCAGCCCAGCACTTAACCCACAGTGCCATCAGGGCTCCTGCCTTGCACATGGTAGATGTTTCAGAGTGGTGTTTGATTGAAGTACATGGTTCCTTTTTGGTGTGGGGAGATCTTTGTCAGTCAACCACTCACAGGGCTGGGCTGGCCTCTCAGTGAGGGCTTTGGAAGCATTTGACCTTGGCCTAGGAGGTCAACGAAAGATATTTTAGAAGCTCGGGAGGCATTATGCATCCAGGTGTCAACTCTAAGGGTGGCAGTCGAAAACCTCTGGGGCCAGGCACTTCCACTCTGCATAATTATGAAGGGCTACTTCCCAGGCTCTGTGATCCAGGCACTCTGCGGGAGGAACAGGAGGTGGCTTGCTCCAGTAAAGAGTGATGGTCTCAAAACCCCCAAGGAGCAGTTCAACGCGATCCTGTGAGTCTTCGGCTCCTTTGGGTGCAATGATTTTACTGTCTGCTGAGTCCATGCCTGGCTCATAAAAAAACTGGAAACTGCTACTGTGGTCTGAGGAAAGTGGTATTGGCATGACCTGGGAACTTGCCAGATTCATGGGCACCATCCTGGCCTATTGTACCAGAATCCTCATGGGGCAGGGCTCAGGATTTTCTCCCTGGCCAGCTCTGAGGGATTCTGATCACAGAGATGCTTGGCATTGGCTGAATCCTCCATCCACAAGCATTACCAGACATTAGAAGCAGAAGTACGTGGGAGTGCTTATTGACATGCAAAGTCCTCTGCATCACCTCCCCCTCCCTCCCCCACCCCAGAAATCCCCCTCACTAGATCCTGCACCAGGCTCCAAACCTGCATTTGAACAAGTGTCCCCAAGACATTCAGGTGCAAACAGTAGTCTGCCCTGCAATGGGAAACATTGCATTTACATTGGCCTTTAATCCAGAGCCTCCGGAGCCAGGGCACATGGTGGGGCAGGTGCTGCTGCTCCCTCCCCTTTACTCAATTGCTTGTCACACCCAGCCACCACTACCAGCTGTCACCTGGCCCCTCTGGAATGGTGATGGGGGTGAGAAGGAAGGAGGTGCTTGTCAAGGTTGGTGGGTTTCCTGGAGGACTTAACTAGGGGAAGGAGCAGGTGTCTCCCTCTAATCGCTCTCCTTGACAGCTCACTTTTGAGGAAAGAATCCTCTTCAATTTAAAACACCGAGCCCAAGCCCAGCGGCATTGAGATGGTGTCGACTCACAGGACAGAGTGGGAGTGGAAGAGCCCCCATAGGATTTCCGAGGCTGTAAATCTTGAAGAGAGCAGACTGCCACACGGGTGGATTATCAAATCGGGGTGGGGAGCACAGGTCTCCTCAGGAATCTGTAGAGAACAGCCTCACTTTTCCCCGCCACCAGAGAGCTCCTGTGTCTCCATCCAGCGCGTGTCTGCCTTCCCCCAACCCCACAGCACCTTCTGACCAAAAGCAAAGCCTCTTTTCAAATGTATAGACCTGATCACAGACCTGTGCTGACCTTGGCTCCTAGGTCATTAGCCCTGGACACTGCAACTTTCTCCCAGAGGGATTGCTGCCGACTTTTTGCTTAGCACTGCGTCCCCAGGGCTCCTTCCTCTGTTCTCCCCACACCCGCTCCCCTAAAAAATAAAACCCAAATCCAGTGCCTTCGAGTCAGTGCTGACGCACAGCAGCCCCTCTCTAGGGTTTCCAAGGCCCTCAATGTTGTCAGGAACGGAAAGTCACATCCTTCCCCAGAGGAGCAGCTGGTGGCTTTGACCTTGCAGTTAGCAGTCCAAGGTTTACCCGACAGCACAAACTCCAGTGTGCACAGAATCCCCTAAGGGCTCATCGAACCCCACCATTCCTGATCCAGTGGGTATGGGCCAGGGCCCACTCATTTACATTTCTGGAAAAGTCTTAGGTAAAGCTGTGACTGGTCTGGGGACCACTCTGCTGGGATCACAGAGCGGGGGAGGTAGCCCTTCATGATTATGCAGAGTGGAAGTGCCTGGCCCCAGACAGTGATTCACCTTGAAACCACTGTTAGGTCAAGAGGAGTCCACGTCCAAGCAGCATGCACACCAGAGTTTGTAAGAGACGAAGTTTGTTACGGCTCCCATCTCAGACCTGCTGAAGCAGGATCTGCGTTTTAATCAGATCCTCAAGGGATTCATTGGCACAAGGGGGTTTGAGGACACTGCTCTCAAGGGCAGCGGTTCAAAACCCACCAGCTGCTCCTGGGGAGAAAGGCGGGGCTTCCTACTCCCTTCAAGAGCGACAGTCTTGGAAACTCCCAGGGGCAGTCCTACCTGTCCTCATGGGTCACTAGGAGTCAGCATGGACCCCCCACCGAAGACTGCAAGCCCCCAGTCCAGAGAGTCATATTATCGTATTGGAAAAGCATAGCAAGGGACCAGGGGTCACTAAGAGACATCGGTGTTAATAGGCAAACCTGAATGTTTGTAGCCTTTCTCTCATTCAAAGACCTAGCAGCTAGCTAGGCTATAGGGCACAAGTTCTGACCTGGAAGACACGCTGTTGACCCCTCATCACCTCTCTGACCTCGGTTGGTTCTCCATGGCACACGGGCTGAGTTGGGCAGTGGTGGGCCGCTTCGGGGGAACATTAGAACCCACGGAGACATTGAGAAGCTCTTAAGCATCCCATGCCCACGACTCACCCTGGACCAGTGAAGGAAGACTCCCAGGCAAGCATCCATTAAAAAAAAATCATTTTATTGGGGGCTTATACAACTCATCACCATCCATCCATCCATCCATCCATCCATCCATCCATCCATCCATCCATCCATGTGTCAAGCACATTTGTACATTTGTTGCCATCATCCTTCCCAGAACATTTGATTTCTACTTGGGCCCTTGGTATCAGTTCCTCATTTTTTCCCCTCCCTATGGACCATTGATCCATAAAAAAAAGCGTTTATCATTTAAAAAAGCGTTCCAAGTGACTCCCACACTTCACCAAGACTAAACAGCCACTGGCCCCAGAGACATCCTATGGACATCTTCTATGATGACATTTCGATGCATTGAAACAGTGCTTTGGGCAGGAAGAGGCCCAATGAGGGAGTGGACACAGCACTGGGTGGCTAACTGGAGGCTGGGCAGCTCCAATCCACCAGCAGCGGTGGCCGTCTGCCTCCGGAAAGATTACAGCCTTGCAAACCCGATGGGGGCACTTTGGTGAAGTACCTCTTGCCTCTCTTCAGCACCTCTACCCCCCCTTTCTTCATCTTCCCCCCAGGAACATCACGTATACTTTAATAAAGGAAACCGTAAAAACAAAACATACAATACACAACCGTGCACACTCTCCCCCGGAGACTGAACAACCCGAACCGAAAATGGAACCCACCTGTGTGAGTTGGCCAAATCCTTGCGGCCAGGCGGATTCCTTAATGGGGTCATTCGGAAAGGTTTCGATGGGACTTCGGTCTCCGTGTCGAAACAACTGAAAACAAGAGGGGACAGCCATGCCTTCAGTCATCTGCTGGTTACAGACGCTCTTCCTCGGAATATCACTGCTTGTCCACCTTAGCTGCCCACCGGAGTCACCTGGGCACGTCATGGATTCTGAGACCCAGGCCCCCGCTCCTAGAGAATTTGATTTCAGGAGCCTGGAGCACAGCCGGGCAATCAGGATTTTAAAACCATAAAAAGGTAAAGCTAAAGCTAAGACCCACCATCCCTACCCAGCTCATTCGCACTCTCCCTGTGTTTCAGGTAATAGAAAAATCAAGGTGATTAGCCCATCAGAGGGCAAATGAGATCAATGGGGATCAGACTCAGCAGAGAGAGCAGGGAGGAACTGGAAGATTAGCAAGATCCCTTGGCTGTAGGCAAACTTGACCAGAAGAACAACTTCCGTAATTGGGACTAAAGATAAAGCAGTAACAGCTTTTTTGAAGCCCCCATTACATAATTACATAATTAAGCAGTGGCTTTCAAATGCAAGTATTTTTTGTCTTAAAGAACATCATACAAGAACACAACAAAGCCAGGCAAAACCAACCCATGCTCACTGCCAGGGCATCAACTCGGACGCACAGTGACTCTACGGGACAGGGTAGACCTGCCCCTGTGGGTTTCCAAGGCTGTAAAGCTGTATGCGATCAAAGGTCTCAGCTTTCTCCTGCTGAGTCACTGGTGGGTTTGAACTGCTGACCGTGTGGTTAGCAGCCTGGCTTATCCCCCATGAAGTTACCAGGGCTCTTTGTCTTACAGAAAGACACCTACAATTGGGTAACCATTTTGAGTCAACGATGCGCTAGTCTTAGGGGGATAGAGGTGAAGGGAATGTGACTGAGGAGTTTGGAAAGCTTGTTCCGAATATGTTAAGAACACCCTCTTACATTTGCATGTGGGTCATATTGTTTTGATAGTATATCTTACTCTTTGAGGACAGCAATTTGAAACCATGCTTCTTAAATTCTAATATGCTTTCTGAGTTGAACGCCGAGCCGAACACATAGCTATTTTATAAGCCAAAGGTTAGAAAAAATACTCAAGTGCAGGATGTCAACAAACTTTTTAATCTGGGGGAAGATACACACACCTTAATTTTTCTGAAAATTCCCATACATGCCACTGTTGCCGCTTGGCTATGGTGTTCATTTGGAGAAGAAAAAAATAGCCAAGAGACCGCTCTTCTGAAGTCCTGTTTAACAACTCAGTCATTACTGAAGAAGGACAAGCCTCAAACTATAGTCAAGCCTGAAGTGGGTTCTAGGAAAGTCAGAGAAGTTTCTAAGACCGGGGTTGCATCTCCGGTGTCTGAAGAAAGTTGATGTTTTGGTCCCTAAGCTGGTGGGAAGTGACGCCTAAGCAGAACAGGCTGCAGAAAGCAGAGGCACGGGGCACAGGGCAGCTTGTTTTGCCACTTGGGTCAGGTAAGGGATGACTGCCATGAACGGCCCCTGATGGAGGGAAGAATGGTCATGTGTCTGCTTTAGTGCATGTTTACTGGCACCCAGGACCGCTTGGTGCTGAAGAAAGACGTGAAAGCTGCCCTGAACGCATTGGCCCAAAACAAGGCTCCAGTAATGGACGGAATACCCATGGAAGGCTTCAGCAAGCTGAAGAAGCACTGGGAGCCCTCACTGGTCTATGCCAGGAAATTTGGAAGACAGCTACTTGGCTCACTGACTGGAAGAGACCCATATTAGTGCCCATTCTAAAGAACTGTGACCCAACAGAATGCTCAAACTATCGACTGATGTCATGGCTGTCACAAACTTTGCTGAGATCTCCCAACAACCTTTGCAGCAGTACATTGACGGGGAGCTGCCAGAAGTTCAGGCTGGATCCCGAAGAGGATGTGGAACAAGGGGTGTCTTCGCTGAAGTCAAATGGACCTTGGCTGAAAGCAGAGAAGACCAGACAGATGTTTACTTGCACTTCATTGATGAGGCGAAGGCACTTGACTGTGTGGACCACAAGAAACCGTGGACAGCCTTGAGAAGAATGGGCATTCCAGAACACTTCACTGTGCTCATTCAGAACTTGTACATGGATCAAGTGGCATTCTGGAATCAGAATAAGGGAATCCTGCATGGTTTAAAATCAGAAAAGGTTGTAGCCTCTCCCCATACTTGTTCAATTTCTATGCTGAGCAAATCATCAGAGGAGCTGGATTATATGAAGAAGAATGTTGCATCAGGATTGGAGGAAGCGTTATTAACAACCTGGGATATGGAGATGACACAATATTGCTTGCCACAGTGAGAAGGAATTGAAGGCCTTGTTGATGAAGATTGAGGATTTTAGCCTTCAGTTTGGATTATAACACATGTCAAGAAGACCCAAATCCTCACAACTGGACCAATAGGTAACATCATGATACATGGAGAAAAGGTTGAAATTGTCAAGCATTTTCCTTGCTTGGATCCACAATCAATGCTCATGGAAGCAGCAGTCTGGAGATCCAAAGATGTACTGCATTAGGTAAATCTGTGGCACAAGACCTCTTTTCGAGTATTGAAGAGCAAGGATATTACTTTGAGGACTAAGGTGTGCTTGGCCCAAGCTATTGTATTCTCCGTTGCATCATATGCATGTGAAAGTTTGACACTGGATAAGGAAGACCGTAGAAGAATCGCTGCATTGAACTGTGGTGCTGGAGAGGAATACTGAAAGTACCATCGGCTGCTGAAAGGACAAACTGAGCTGTGTGGGAAGATGTGCAGTCAGAGGGCTCCTTAGAGGCGAGGAGGGCCAGACGCCGTGTTACATACTTCAGACACGTTGTTAGGAGAGACCAGTTCTGGAGAAGGACAGCAGGTTTGGCAAAGGGGAGGGGCAGGGAAAATGAGGAAGACCCTCAAGGAAATGGATGGACGCAGTGGCTCCATCAATGGACTCGGGCATACGGCCGTTGTGAGGATGGCGCAGGCCAAGCAGTGTTTCGATCTGTCGTGCGTCAGGCTGCTCTGGGTAAAGCCGACTCACTGGTGGCACTTACTTAAATAACAGCAACAAAGGGCCACTTGGTCATGAATAGAAAATACTGATCCTTCCATAATCAAGTTCTTCTCTTTCCACAATCATAACTCATTTCTGACTTTCTAGATGTCAGGGAGCCATTGATAGTTTGGTGGTGAAATTCCAACCTATGTGGGAAACCAAGGAGCCTTGGTGGTGCTGTTAAGTAAAGTGTTGCACTGATAACCTCAGAGTTGGTGGTTCAAAACCCACCAGCGGCTCTGTAGGAGAAAGATGAGGCTCAGAAACCCTATCCAGGGTCTGCATGAGTCAGAATTGACTTGGCAGCAGTGGTTACTGGATTGATTCCTAGCCAATGCAGCTCATGGGCAGCCAACACCCATCTGTCCAGGAAGACTTGCATGTTGCTATCATGTGGAACACGCATCAACAGAGATTCCAGACAAAGACTGACTTGAAGAAAGACCTGGTGATCTACTTCTGAAAACTAGTCAATGGAAACTGGTAGTTACATAATCTGTCAACTTTCAAAGGTGTCAGTCAGGTCACAGCCAATGAGGCCTCTGTGTAGGCGTGGCATTCTCCTGAGGAATCTGGGAACTCCCGTCTTCCTCCCTGGAGGCGGGACACACGCTCTCTCTGCTTGTCTCCCTGTGAGACATTCCTGTTGACAAGCCACATAGAGCTACATGCTGATGGACCCAGAGCCCTGGAGTTGGCGAAGCCATGTGGAGACCCACGCCAGTACTGAGATGCTTCCACCCCCACTGGGTCCACAGACTTTCCACCCACTGGCCTGTGATCTTCCTTTCTGCATTCAGCATCATTGCACGTGCTGTGTGAGTCTGAAGAAGAATTTATAGACTGGTAACAGGCATATGGCCTAATATCAGATTTATGTACTTAACCTGGACTGGGCTGGGATGCTCTCTCAATATACAATTGCTCTTTTATATAAAGTTCTTTCTTTTTAAAAATCTTTTTATTGGGGGCTCTTACAGTTGTCTTTTAAAAAAAGTTATTTGTCTTTTTTAAAAAGTTATTTATTTAAAATTTTTTATTTAAAGAATCATTTTATTGGGAACGTGTACAACTCTTATCACAATCTATACATCCATCCATTGTATCAAGCACATTTGTACATTTGTTGCCATCATCATTCTCAAAACATTTGCTTTCTA